GGAAGATTCATTCGCATGTTGCACATTTGCTGAGGAGTGGAGCAAGGGCCCAAGTAGGGGAAAAGAATGAAACTCGACCCAGAACACGGAAAGGTACGTCCCGACTTTACTTTTACCATTTTGCCAAGGCTCTGAGACCCCCTTGTGCAAGGACCCACTTGTGCAGGCAAAGCTTGTCTCGTTCACTCAAACATAATGCATATGGGCTGTAAACAAATCCAACGCACGCTGCACAATATGTGTTGTATTCGTTTACAACGCATATGGCTTATGTTCAGGGAAGACAGTAGCACTCGGGAGAATGCATCCAACTGTATTCACTTCCCCAGCATTGTTGATTGTTTTTCTTTTTGCTGTTTTTGTTCTCCAACTGGTTCCCCCAGCTTCCATCCGTCCAGCTACTGGTACTCCCAGGCTTGGCAGACACACGAGGGGCTGAGACAAACTGTTTCGTCAGAGTTTGTATGTATCTGACTTACAAACTCCCCATCCATCTTGCTACCCCGCCCCCCCCCTTCTCTCTCTCTCTCCCTCTCTCACACACACACACACACACACACACACACACACACAGTACCACACAGTTACACACAACACATAATTAAGGTCTAAGAAAATAGACGACAAAGCGAAACGGGGAACAAAAAATGTGCACGGGTGAGGACTCTTTTTTCTTTTTCTTTTTTTAGGTGAGGACATTTTCCACACCACCATCATTGGCGATTTTCCGGTTTTCTTTTCTCGCTACGCCAAATGCCTTGAAAATTTATAGGCATGTACCTTTTCTCGTACAGAACCCACATTCGTATCTTCCGCCCCCCACATCTTCAGCCAGCAACCCGAACGTTCCCGGGGGGGGGGGGGGRGGGGGGAGAAGGKGGAACCCCCCCCMCTGGTGAGATGGTAATAGAGCCAAGCTGCACTACTCATCAAACGTGCAAAACACCGATCGTATATCCCACCTAGGTATAAATATACACCAATCTTTTCACGACTAGAGGAGAAACGCCCTTGGGCTTGCTCCCATCCCTCGCGAAAGTGGCAAAGGATACTTTCGCCTACGCCCAGTCATTACAGCTGTCTTTGGTTCAACTTCCAGTCCAGGTACGGCAATAATCACTGGGCACTCTATTCGAGTTGAGACAATGGCTAGCAATACAGCCTTGGCTGGCTGCATAGTCCGATGTCGAACTCGTCAAACCTTCTCCTGTGCCCATGTGGACTTTGGCCGCAACGACACCCGTCGTGCAGAGAGGTTTAAGGGTCAGATCCCACTACCCTGGATTATTCATTTTTCACCCTCGATTACGAAGATCAACGGTCAGAAATGAAAAGTAGGGGCTAGTGGGATCTGGCCCTCAGACAACAATCCGTTGTTACTAGACGGACTTTAGGGCATGCTGGTGCTTGTACTTAGGCCTTTCGGCCGGCTCAGGATACGTTTTGTATGTCTGTGATGATGATGATGTGCGAGTCTAACTCACCGGCCGGCCCACTCACCAAATGTGCAAAAAAGAGGATGGATTTACCGCAAAAACATGGAAAGATTCACAGGCATATTTTTCGTCTTTTGTGCATTTGGCGAGTGCCACGGCGAAGCCCTTCAGCCTTCACTTGCTCGAACACCGCACCCTCGCGCGTTTGATCGCACGTTCGATCCCATGAGCACACTAACAACCGGACGAGGTACGAGTATAACATAAGAAATTCAGCAGAGGGGGAATTGGAATGAAAGCTGGGCTGTTTTCCGGCCGCCCACCCAGCTTATGTCCGGATACGCGTCCGGATGCCCGGCCGGGCATGACCCCCGGCAGGGTTCCAGGCAGCCCAAACGCAAAAAATAAAGTTCATTATGAACCCCGGGGCCATGTCCCACCTGGGGTCTAGTCCCACCTACAGCGTTGAGTTTTCTCAACGCTGMRCTTYCTATCACGTGTGGCATGGTGGGACGGAGCTCTGCCGTTGATGTATTGCGAATCTAACGGTACCAAAATACAGGAGAATAACCTATTAGATTTAGTCATTTTGTAGAACTTTTCTTTGACGTGAAATCCGTTTTGTAGTATGCGTTGGCCCTTTTGGTTAGGGCGGGAAGCCATTTTCCATTGAGAAAACTACCCTACCGAGGGTAGGATACATTTCTCAACGGCAGTGCCTTTCCTTTTTTATGTTTTTTAAGACCTCATTGCATCCTGAAACGGATGAACTCTGACAGCTGTGTTTGGCTGTATGGCATCAAACTCGTTTCCTTCTTTTGGCAATGATTGCATTTGGCCGTCCACGTCGTCCCTGTCCATTTTACAAATGGTGACCTCCTGTCCCCTCACCACGGGGAGTATCCCTTTTTCACGGAGACTTTCACTCCAGACATGTTTGATTTCTCCGAGTTATGTTATAAAAAATAAGGACAAAAGCTGTTTCTAGCGTTTTTTTCAGTTTTTTAGTTTTGAATTTATTAATGTCGAAATGGCGTCACACCGTTGAGTTTTCTAAACTCAACACCGTTAGGTGGGACCAGACCCCTGCAGCGTTGAGCTAGCTCAACGCAGAGTTCTCTATCACGTGTGACCTGGGGCGACCCAGGAGATGATTTCAGTCCCCGTCCATCGGAGCGTCAGATTTTCCTGTGAAATCGGGGATTGCTAATGTTTATTCGTTCTTAAAATGGAGAAAAAATGACCAAACCCAAACACAACGCCCCCTACCCTTGCCCTCTTGCGTTGAGCTATAGCTACCTTTATCGACGCAGGGTAGCCAGTTTAGCTAGCTACGTTTCTCCACTCGGGGTAGCTGGTTGAGCTAGCTACCTATCTCGACACAGGGTAGCTTTTGCTCAAAGGACGTTGAGCCATCATTACCTCCTCATGGGAGGACACTCCGACACACAAGGGAGTGCACTTTGACAGACGTGGGAGGACAATCTCACAGAGGTGGGAGGACACTTGGCTAGACTTAGGAAGCACTCGTTTCTTTTATATTTGGGTGGTGAATGCACATACGTTCGTTCCACGCAGTGCACGGAGAGTTCCATATACTGAGGTGAGTTTCACTCGAGGAGTTTCATTTTCTCCTTTTCATTTTCTGAAAAATATGGACAGAAGCAGACGCATCTTTCTCCATTTTACATTTGAGAAAATACGGAAAAAAAGCTTTCAGCAGCATTTGATTCTCGTTTTACATTGTATAACTGTGTCACACCGTTGAGCTAGCTCAACTCAATGGTCTAAGTGTGACATGGGCCCCAGCCCCCGGGCTGAGGGTCACATCAGAATTCCAAACACACAGGGATATTATAGCAAGAAAAACAGAATCACTCCCCCTTCACACCGCTTTAGCCCCTTTAAAACCAAAAATCATACCCCCCTTGACAGCCAACTCTCAAAAAAAGAAGTGAGCCCACATACGGGATCCTCCCGTAGAGCGCAATACCCCAAACAACGTTTTTTTTTTTTTTTTTTTTTGCACGCCCGAGTTACTCGTCACTTGGCCGAAATCGAGGCCAGTTTATCGTCACTTGGGCGAAAGCTGGAAACATTGTTTAGGGCTCAGCAATAGCAATACGTCCAAAAACAGATGACACTCATTCTAGGATGCTGCAAATTGCATAGCGATACAAGGAAGATATCACAAAGGGCAACAGCCAGCTCGCAAAAAAAGAAGTGAGCCCGCATACGGGATCCTCTCATAGAGCGCAATACCCCACAATTTTTTATTTTTTATTTTTTTTGCACGCCTTCCGACTAAGATCCGAGCATCCACTTCGGAAGAAGATTCCGAATCCCTTCGCAACCATTCGGTGACTTGTGCAGTGTCAAAAAAAGCCACCCGGCGGCAGATTAGACATGAGATTGAATGTACCTGGGATGGTTAGTCCGATGATAATACCTCAAGGCCATAGCCATTTGGAAAAATAAAATAAAAAAATAAAAATACATTCGTACCCTGGTACGTCAATAAAAATACATTCGTACCCTGATACGTCAAAATTCTTGTCCCATCCAGCGGCCTAGCTCAGTTGGTAAGGCACGCAAGTGGCATTCAGGAGGTCTTGGGTTCAATCCCCATTGGCCTCATGTGCCTTCCTGGGCAAGCTTGGCGCCCGCCACCTAGAGATATGCCGTTGGTCCCCCCGAGTGGCATTGAGCAGAGACTGCTGATGTTCATAGGGGGAGGGGAGGCACTGACTGGCCCATCGAAGAAGCTCGGTCCTGATGTTACCGGCTGACCCCTGGCAGGTATCGCCCACCTGCTGTAGCAGGTATCGCACCTGCTGGTGGGTGCAGCTCCCGCATGTTCCCTCGTTGGAGGCTTGAGCACGGATGTGGCTGCTACGGGGTTCCCCGTAATACTATAATGAACAATAAAAAAAAAAGGCCTGAAAGGCCGTCCTGTCCAGATTTGACAGGTAATTGAATTGGTTGGGCCTAAAGAATTAGCCTTTTAAAAAAAAATAAAAAAAATGCTTGTCCCCTTCCGGTATCCGACCTCTTATCAATATCGCATGGTTCGAATTCCGGACCTGTTACTTAAGCACCAGTACTTCCTAAAGTCATGCCCGTTAACAAGCCACGATTTTAGGAAACGTCCGTACGGGCCACTCACTACAGGAGCGCCCAAATTCATCCAACTTTCCGCGGCCTATAGCTTGGCCAAGTACTGGTGGTTTAACAATGACATGCTGCTCATACGTCAACTTTTTTAAAATTGAAGTACAAGCAGCATGTCATTGTTAAGTAACGTGTCAATTTGCACTTTTCATTCGCTTCAAAGCCATAGCTGTTTTGCTATTCTCGTTCACAAGACCGACGGCCCTGAGAGGTATTATCATTATTAGGCCGAACGCCCATCCTACTCAATCAGGATTGGAACTTAGGTTTGTGTCACAAGAGTTCATTGGGGCACCATGCATCCACAGATGTGCTGGGTATCTCGATAGACATTCTCACATCACACTCCTAAACTAACCAAATGAACTGGAAATCAAAACCGCATTCTATAACCCACAAAAAGCTTGCGGACACGAATCCATATGAATCAATCAATCAATCAATCAATCAGCCACATATGCTGATCTCAGTACACTTCCTTTTTTTTTCTCTTTCTTCTAAAGGGCGACGGCCTTGACGTATATCACGACTGAGCTGACCGCCGCAGGCAATTCACAAATGTTTGGGTTTACTCATCATGTACCATCATCTGGATTCGACCTCGGGTCTGTATTTCAACAGTACACAGGTGTACCCACTGAGCTAGGCTCAGTACACGTTCTCACTTTATCATTCACCTCTTTACTATCAGAATATAGAACACATCCCATAAACAGCCTGAAGACACATCCATGACCGACATCAAACAACATCAAACAACATCAAACAACAACAACGACAAAAACAACAACGACGACAAAAACGCCAACGACGACGACTTGCTCCATTTCTTTCCACCAAAACAGCAGCAGCTCCTAACAATGATGATACGTTACATCAAAAGGTTGTTGCAGGTGGAGACGCGTATGGTCCACCACCCCATCACCGCCACCGAGTGCCCACAACCAGCATCACTTTTCACGACCAGTCGCTCTACCTCCCGCTTGCTTAAGATCGACAAAAGAGCCTGCTTGAATCGAAAAAGAAAAGCACACAATTCGACTCTCTCGGCAAACGACGTCCCCCTTGCTTAAGATGGACAAAAGAGCCTGCTTGAATTGAAAAAGAAGAAGTACACAATTCGCCTCTCTCGGCAAACGACGTTCTTTTCTTCTCTCAATAAACAACTCGCCTCACAAAAGAGCCAAAACAGCCTCCATTTCCTCATTAGCCTCCGTTTCCACATCATATTACCTCCAAGCGCTAAATGTATACCAAGCCACACACTGCCATCTTTCAATCAATATCAAAATTAACGGCCGCCCAGTTGACCCATGCCACTACATCCGCCACCAGACATTGCGATTCGCCCCCAGCCAACATGTCGCACTTTTCAAGAGCCACGCAACACTTCAAGATCCACGCTCTTTGCTCATCCTCCTCTCTCTTAGGCCCTCCCCACGCTCCAGACGCGAATATGACCGTCCGTATAGCCCGTGTAAAGCGTGCTCCCATCAGAGCTCCAGTTAAGGCTCGTGCAGTACGGAATCTGCAACCGATTCGAAGACACAGCAAACAACAAGTTGTTAACTTCGCATCTCCTCGGACCGAGTACAACCCCCAATTAAAAACCGGACGCACAAATGCAACACGCAAATTCCAAAAGCGGGCCAGATAAGATAGCATACCACTAAAAAAAATAAACAATCAAAAAGAAAAAACATACAATCGACGGCAAAAAGGGACGAAGCACAAGCGAGTGATTACGAAAGCCGCCACCGAAAACAAACCATCAATCATCAATACTTGGGATTGAACGTGTAAAGCTCAAGATGGAAGGGGGCGGCCGGGGGTGGGGGGCGGTTGGGCTTAAAGCCTGCCAAATGCGTAGCGAAGGATCCTGCATATGCATCGTTGCGATTGCAACCCTTTGCGAACGATGGAATGTCAGTCTCTTCCCCTCACAGATAGCAGGAAGGCTTGAAAATCAAAGGAAGGATTCCATCGTTCTCTCAGAGCCGCTACACATGCCCTTCCCGTCACTGTCCACTCCTACACCTCCCTCGGAACTCTCTCTCTCTCTCTCTCTCTCTCTCTCTCTCTCTCTCTCTCTCTCTCTGTGCATCTGTGCCGCATTTCTCACTTCGCTTCCCTCAACTCGCCAACGCAGTCCCACCCTCGTAGGCACCAAAATATGCACAGCTGCAATAAACAAGATGGAGGGACTAGGGGGCGTTGGATGGAGTTGAGATACGTTCGAAAGTCAGAAAACCCAAGCTAACGAAAATGCCGCCAGCATGGCCAGCAACCATTCCAGCCTGCGATCAGGGTCCTCAAATTGCAAGTCAGCTACTCGAACGAGAACTCAAATGACCGACAAAAACTCTGCCGAGTGCTTCAACGAACAGCCTGCGTCCGCTGACAAACACCCTCCCATTTCCCACGCGATACGGCAACAGTCCATTTTTTTTAAAGCGCAATGTCCTTGAGACATCGTCATGGAACTGAGCGGCCCCATGTAAAATTCAGATTCGATTTTATTTTATTCTGGTCATCTTGTTGCACTGGAATCCATCCGAACTTGGGTCTGTAATTCAACAGTCCACGGGCTTACCAACTGAGCTAACCCATTTAATCGCTATCGAGCCCCGAAACATGGCAAAATAGTGCTGGAGCCAAAGACAAAGGGCATAACATCTCCGCAGCATACCGAGACCTAACAGAGATACGAACGACCTACGATCCTGTCCACTAGGAAATAGAGCATACAAACGAGGATGAGAAGCAGCATAAGAAGAATCCAGCATAAAAGAATAGCCTACTCGGACAAGGGATATTTCCGACGGACCTCTGGACGTAATTGCGGGGAGATACATCGAGGTAAGGCTGCAATTGCAGTCTAATAGAGCGAGCGAGGAAGGTACTGCTGCGCGAATGCTTGGGAGTGTGCACGACTAATGATGAAAATCGGATGCGTCGACCTGAGCACTGTAAAAGGAGGGCATCAACTCCATCTGACAACCGCACTGTGGATCACATAATAACAAGCGATTGATGTCGACTGTCACATCGACAATTGCAATGGCGAGAGTAGGGAAACTACAGTGCACTAGCAGAACGCAGTCCGCGAACCATTTTCTATCCTTGTCAATTGTTAACAGAAAAAAAAAAATTAAACAATTTTCGCATGAGCGTCAACAGGGCTCTCCCTCCCAAAACCATCTAATATCCCTTATAGATTGGATCATCAACAACTGCATCCCGACTTCGTGTCATTATCAGCACCTGGTCATCTTCGTCCTCTCGAGACAGCATAAGCACAGAGTACGGTTTCCTGGTCTTATCTGCCCATATTAATTGGCAGATGGCCATATTAAATTATGCAGATTTATTCAAGAAAGTCCCAGTGTCTGTACTGAAAGTGGGCTGCTGCCTGGTCTTATCTGGCCATATTCATGGGCACATTCGTTACAGGAATCCCAGCATCTGTGCTGAAAGTGGGCTTCTTGGAAAATATACCACTGCCAAGTATCGATATTGACATGCGGTAGATCGATTTCACCAAAAGAACATATCCGAACTAGGGCGCACGACGACGGACAGGTCCTCGACGCAGTCCTGATAACAGCGACTTCAACCCTAAAGGTCATATTGCCCACTTCTTAAGAATGATTACAGACGGGTGCCTCATACAACGATGTAGTCTTTCCTCGACATCACTACATTTCTCGTATATCGGGCCCCGGGCCTCTGAATTCAAGTCGGGAGGCCGGGCGCCACAGATGAAAATTATCAGGCCTGACGGCGATTTTTCAGGGTAAACTACTTTTACCACTTAGCGTCACAGCCCGAAAGGTAGTGGTGGTTTAAGGACATGATCGTACAAGGAGTGGGAAAAAAAGCGGGGTTCATTAATAGTTTCACAGAAAAAAGTCGTTCTAAGATATTGAACGATCCTATCCCGCTGGAAGGCTTTTCGCTTGAATTTCCAACTGGACACTTCTCGTTCTGAGAACAAAGAAGAGTTGCTCCCCATTCCCATTCTCCCTTTGAGAAAACAAAGAACAGTCGAGTTACACTTCTCATCCTTCCCGCTGGAATTTCCAACAACTGTAGGAGAGACTCTTCACAATATATCAAACCATCGCACTTTCATGTTCGAAAACTGCCTCTTCACCCCAAATAGAAGCTCCGGTGATTATCGCTGTATCTAGTCTGAAAATTGCACCACGTACAGCTATAATAATCGGGCATTCTATTCAGTAACCTGGCACATTACGTTCATTGAATATAACTGCGCGTAAGGCTAATCAGCAATCTTAACTCCCGTTCCATAGTATCGCGTGACAGATCAGACGGAGCGCGCAGGACACTGATCTTCGGTTCATACAACCGTTCAAGATCCGTTCTCTCGCTCGTCCACTCCCCTGAGAGAGAAAGAGAGAGGCGGAGAGGGTGCTCTCTCTCTCTCTCTCTCTCTCTCTCTCTCTCTCTCTCTCTCTCTCTCCGCGTGTGTCTGCGCGGGGACATTTCGATGTATACAATCGAGTCCCACTTTCATCGTCCGATACATTCGAGAAATTGTGAGCGTCAAAATGTGCCCGCGTATAGAGAGAAATGCAGATACACATGCCTCGTCGAGCTTGCGTGAACATGACCCTTCGTTCCAGAGAGCGGATGCAAGGTGGAAGTGCCCACGGGTATACGGAAAAAGAAAAAAGAAACAACAACGAGTCCGACCAGGAGCACCGCTAACATCGAACATACCGCTAGATTTCCCTTATAACTGAAATGTGACCAAAATCCGTATCCTATAGTCCTGCAATGCGTGGGTTGGCCTTAATGCTTTAGACCCTTAGCAAGGAACGGGAATTGAATTTTTCGAAGTACTACAATGCGTGGGTTGGCCCACAGATGCAGAACACAATAGCATGAAATGCACAAAGACAACGATTGGTTCGCGAAGTTGGGAGCGCTCCAATTTCGAAAACCCTAAATAAAATCGTAGCGTTTTAGGGATCATGGTCTAGTCTTCACTCGAATTGAACGCCCACTCATTTTCGTTGCATTTAGACTGAAATTTGGCCCAAATACAGCTATAATGACCGGGAGTTCTATTAAGATGAAGACGGGTAAACTTCGTTTGCTCGCCGACATCACTTCTGGGATTCATAGAGAGAGCTTCTCATTCCACAACATGCCTTTCACATCAGAGCGGGGCATGCTCAAACTGCGCGTTGTATTTTCCCAGAGCTCATCGTTCAAAAAACAATACCAACGCCTAGACAAACAAAGAGGGGAGCTACAAGCTTGCACAAGTTGTGGACAAGAAAACAGGAAAAGCACAAGGGGTGAGGGACCACAGGACGACAAAAAGACAAAAGGAACGAAATAGGAGTCCAAGGAGAGCTTTGGAAGATGGCCGAGCAGAAGAGGGATACAGGCCAACAAGGAAACGGAGTCGAGGGAGGAAAAACGAGAGAACGAAACAATCTGAGAGAGAAAACGATGCCAACGAAGACTAGATATGAAGAAGAACGAGAAGACCTGAATAGGAAGGAAAAGGTGAGGGAGGTAAAGATGGAGGGAAAAGATGTGAATAAGGAAAAAAGATAACGAAGGGAAGAACACAAGAGGCGGGAAGAGATGTGAAGAGTGGGTAAAAGAAAACGAGTGAACACAGGTGAGGATGGGCGAACAGATTTGAACAGGGGCGAAAACCTAAGGAGGGGGAAAAGATATCATGGGATAACGAAAACATGGCATGAGGGAACGAAAAGATGTCATGCGGGAACGAAATAATGGGGAAAAGATGTCAAGGGAGGAAAAGATGTAATGGGGGCGAAAGATGTCATTGAGCAGAAGGGGGGGGGGAGGGGTGATAGATTTCGTGGGCTGCGAGACGAAGATGTCCTCCAGGGGACAAAGAGGTCGTCGGAGGGGAAGATGTCAGGGGGAGGTAAAGATATATAGAGGGAGGGAAGCAAGCAAAGATGTAAGGGGCAAACATGTGAAAGGGGAGGGGAAAATGCGGAGAAAAAGATGTGAGAGGGAAAGACTTCAAGAGAGGAAACAACAACAACGTGAGACGAGAGGAAAAAAAAGGGAAAAGAAAGGAAATCGTGAAAAAGGTGCAAAGAAAAAAGCGTAGTAGAAGGTAATGAACATAAAAATGCTAAGAGGCTAGGTATAACTGGACTGAAGCGTGTGCAGAGGCAAGAGAGAAAGACAACACACTTGATGACCGAAAAGAAGACCGGGAATACGGGCAAGGGCAGAAGCGGGGGGAAGAATCCCAGCCCCAACAACATGGGCTGACTCGACAACCTGGTCACAAGCCAAGAGTGCTGGCCCGGAGCGAGATGGGAAAACGGCGAAGGTGCAGACACGATTAGAAGGCCAGAACCAGTGAGGATGGCAGAGGCAGCAAGGATGGCTGACCCAGCAAAGGCCCGACCCAGCAGAAAGAGGAGGACGCGAGATACGGTGAAGCAGGTGAATAAGATAAAGGAGGCGAATAAGGTAAAGGAGGTGAATAAGGTGAAGGAGGAAAATAAGGTAAAGGAGGCGAACAAGGTAAAGAAGGAAAATAAGGTAAAGGAGGAAAACAAGGTAAAGGAGGTGAATATGGTAAAGGAGATGAATAGGGTAAAGGAGATGAATAGGGTAAAGGAGATGAATAGGGTAAAGGAGGTGAAAAGGGTAATGGACGTCTAAAGGGTAGAGGACGTGGTATGGATAGAGGACATCAAATGGCGCAGAGAACGCGAAGAGAATATATATGCAACGAGGACAGCAGAGAAGCAGAGGCCGATAGGAGGGCGATATCAGGATGACAGCAGGACGCAGGGAACAGGACGTGAAGAGAGCAGAGCAGGCAAGGAGGGCAGGTGACAGAGGACGCGAAGAGAGCAGCATAAGGCACGACGACAACAACGGGTGAAGAGTGAAGGAGCGTCAAGACGGTCAGACGCAAAAGAGAGCTGCTAAACGGGAAGGGTGCTGAAGGCGTGAAGGGCAGACGAGAAATAAGGGAAGATAGGAAAGTGGATGACCATTAGATGTACCAGAGACGATTGACGACATAGGACAAAGAAGAGGTTGAGCGTGTGCCTGAAGTGTAAGAGATCAGAAGCCAACGGCGGACAAAAGGACAGGAAGAAAAAAAAGAACAATCGAGACTCGATAGACGTCCGCGAGAAAGCAAATTGCAGCAGAAAGCAGGTCCAGAACCCTTATTACAATGAAGGAAACGTACAGGGCAAGTGAAGAAACCGTGCTTGCACGAGGGTTGAACTGGTAACAATAAGCGGCGACGAAGAGAAGAGGAATCCCATGCCTTCATTTCACATTACAAATTAAAAGAAGGAGAATGCAGTATGAGACGAGAAGAGGAAACCGGAGTAGAGAATTGCCTCAGAGAACGGAGCAGAAGAAAAAAGGCAGGACAACGAAAGGCAAAAGGGATACAACGCTCGATGTGGACACAAGCGATAACAAGGCCACGGCCAGACGATGTAAGGGTACGACGGACGACGCTTAATCCACCAGTATTTGGCCCAGCTATCGGCCGCAGAAAACATTAGAGTAGAAATGTTTCTAGTCGTCGGATGAATCTGGGCGCTCCTGGAGTGGCCTGTACGTTTCCTAGAATCGTGGCTCGTTAACGGGCACGACTTAGGAAAGAGTGGTTTCAGAATCGGTCAGAGAGCTACGTGGGAAATCCATCAGGAGAAAAGAGTTCCAAAGGAATACAGAACAAGAATAGAGAACGAATACAGGACAAGAAGAGAACGAATGAAGGACAAGAAGAGAAGAAAGAGGGCATCAAAGAGAAGGAGACGGCGATGATATTAGAGTACTCGACAGGCGGGCAATAGGCAATCACACCTGGTGCATACCAGACAACGACGTATGCAACTCCGCAAGAGGTAAATGACAACCGGAGAAGCAGATGAGAACCGCGGCATTAGCAACGACCTAAAGCTAAGGGGTGATCAGATAGATGAGTGGATTTCAAGGCAAGTAACGTACCATTGCCTTCTTGCTGACGGATGAGGAATCCTGGCGGAAATCGGGCCGAAGCTCGTCGACGATGCTCTTGCTCTCCAAGTCCCAGATCTTGACACACTGCTGCGTGGCCGCGCACAACCAGTACCTGTTCGGACTAAAGCACAGGGCGTGAATGATATCGCCAGCGTCGAGGGAGTACAGTCTCTTGCCCTCAGCAAGGTCCCAGAGCATAGCAACGCCGTCCTTACCACCACTGGCACACAGCGAGCCATCGGGCGAGACAGTCACGGTGTTAATGTAGCCCGTATGTCCAACCAGGTTCGTTCGCAGCTTGCAATTAGTCAAGTTCCAGACCTTCACCATCTTGTCCCAGCCACCAGAGACAATGATAGGGTTGGTGGTCATGGGGGAGAAGCGTACACAGCTCACCCATCCGGTGTGCGCCTCCTGTTGGTCCTGGATTGTGTACTTGCACTCGCCGAGGGTGTTCCAGAGCTTGATGGTTTGATCCCTCGACCCAGACACGATCTGTCGGTTGTCCACGGAGAAGGCAACGCTCAACACGTCCTTCGTGTGTCCGACAAATCGCCGCGTGGTTGTCCCGGAGTTCAAGTCCCACAAACGAAGGGTTCCATCCCAAGACCCGGAGAGGGCGAACTGACCGTCCGACGAAATCACCACGTCCTGAACAAAGTGGCCATGGCCAGTCAACCTCCGACGGGCAATTCCATAACTATTCTCCTCCCTAGTCAACGACCACATAATGATCGACTTGTCACGAGACGACGAGAGGATCATGTCCGAGTTGTCCAGAGGGCAAGCGATGGACGTGACCCAATCGGTATGCCCCTTGAGGGTGCCGCGAAGGGAGAGAGTTTCCGCCATCGCTGCTATCCGATCGCCGCCTACCCTTCACTCGTTCCGGCGATAGAAAGACGCACGAGATCGGAGAGGAAGAGAGAGAGACAGAGAGAGAGAAAGACAATCGGCTCCAAAATGCGCGGGCTCGACACAACACTGGGCCGACCCGCCCCTCACATGGAGTTGGCGATGGCGAAAGAGGGATTCAGGCGGGACGTGGGCGAATGTATCCTACGACGACCACGGTCGACCGACAGAAGCAAAGGGCGCGGGTTGGGAAAACCCCCGTCAGTGCTCAGCCCGCCTTGAGACTCGGGTGAACCGGGCCCGGACCGGAGAGGGCCGCATCGGTCGGCCGGACGCTACCCAAACCGCCCATCCAACCGTCGATTGCGATTTCCGGTCTTGATTCGGCTTGAAAATAAGAGCCTCGCTCAGTGGGCACACCCATGAACTGTTGAAATCCAGGCCGGAGTTCGAATCCAGATGATGGAACTTGATGAGCAAATTATTTTTATTTTTATTTTTAAAATAGCTGCCTTCTCTCAATTACAAATCGAAGGAAAAGAAATACTAAAATGAAGAACGGCAAACCAGTCCCTAAACCTATGAACTGTCTATTCACCAGTACCTTCCCCAGCTATCCAGTCCGAACCTCCGGCTACCAGTATGCCGAGCCTTTCCAAGGCTAGAGGGTGGGGGCGGGGGCGAGGGTGGGAGAGGGGGAGAGAGAGAGAGAGACATCCAAATGTGGAAAACCAGAATGAATGGTACCATGTAAGCGCGGAAATTTCATTCTTGTTTTCCGGCTCGGAAAATGAGCGGCCGCGGGGGTGGGTATGTGTGAGCGAGAGAGAGTATCATGGCGCATTCGTTGCGCAGTGGCGCAATGAATGCACCGTGAAACTCTCTCTCTCTCTCTCTCTCTCTCTCTCTCTCTCTCTCTCTCTCTCTTCTCTTATACACATCTAGATGTGTATAAGAGACCACACACACACACACACACACACGAAAGCGCTTC